ATATAAATACACACTGGATAGGACTGTGTCTCAGTGCTGAGAGCCCTGGCATGGGGGCTGTACCCACATAGTACATAAGAGATTCATACTCAAAACATCAATATGTCAAAGAAGAATTTATTCCTGACTTCAAAAGCTGCACTCTTATTACCTTAGGATACAGGCAGTGAGGCAAGAAAGACTGATCTTGTCAAAAATATGTTATTTAATAAGTACTAAAAATAAGTCAGTAATTTGGGAGCAGCTGTGAGGGTGGAGCAGTCTCTTGAACAGAAACAAGCAGACAGCCTGAAAGGCAAAACCAGCCCCTAATTGCTGACATTGCAGTCATTTGCAAAGCTGTCAAAAGCATCAATCAAATTTTACCTTCCTAATAATGTATCTGGGAATTTTTATATTTGGGCATGAGGCTGCCTAATTTGCTGAGAAGCTGCAGAAAACTCCTCTTTGGAAGTTCTCAAGAACTTGTGTAAAGGCACTGATGTGGCACCAGTGACACCTGCAAAGGGACCTGTAGGGCCAGAGCTCAGAAATCCCGGCAGGGCAACACAGCTCCAGGTCAGAGTGAACAGGGAGGTGATACCATGGCTCAGAGATCTGGTTTCCATTCTCAGCTGGTAAAAGCTTGGAGAAGTCACTGAACTCGTTGCATTCTTCTTTTCTTTATATAACACTGGGACAGTAGCTGCTGAAGGCCATGTTAGCACCAAGGTGGTGTAGAGAAGCCATAAAACCTTGATCCAGCTAAGTGCTTATGAGGTAGTTAACTCTGAAAATGTACCTTTCCATAGAGTAAAGCATTTCCCTGAATAAAGATAGAGCAGGTATTGCCTCCCTGCTGTAGAGACATGGGGGTTGCATGTGCATTCAGAAGAAATAATGTGGCCCTTCATTTGGAGACGTAATTACCTTAATTCAATTTATTGTTGTTCTGGTTTGGTTTGGTGGGTTTCTTGGTAGCGGGGGAAGTGCCACAGGAGTGGCTCTGGTAAGAAGCTGAGAAGCTCCCCTTGCTCCAAAAACCCAACCAAAGAGCCATCAAAGAGACAACAGATGTGCCTAAGCGATTTAACATATGAAAGAATCAAAATAATACCTGAGCAGAGAGGCACTTGGGAGAGAAGAGCTGTGATGGAGGAGGAGAGCGGTGCTGGGGAAGGAGAGCTGTGCTGGCGGTAGGTGAGGAAGAAGGGAAAGAAGGTGCCCTAGCAGAAGTTTCCCTTCCACCCATGGGGAGATGGCAGAGTTTCCCCCTGTACTTGTGGAGGAACGTGGTGGAACATTTCCTGAAGGCACCAGGAGGGGTGAACTTCGCCAGTGGACTTGGATTTTGTGATCAGTGGATTTGCTGCCTGTGGACTCTGATTGCACAGCTTCAGAAGACCCCGGCGCCAGGGGAGTTTGTTCCCAAAGCACCTGTGACTCTGTGGGAAGCCCAGGCTGGAGCAGGTTGTTCCAGACCTCGTGGGAAGGACTCATGAAGGAGAGGTTCGTGGAGGACTCTCTCCTATGGGAGGGACCCCGTGGGGAAGCAGGGAAGGACTGTAAGGAATCCTTCTTCCTAAGGAGGAAGGAGCGGCAGGAACCACCAGCCTGTGAACTGACTCTAAACCCCATCCCCATCCCCTGTGCCGCTGGGGAGAAGGAGGGAGAGAAACCAGGAACAAAGTGATTTGGGCCCAGGTAGAAGGGAGGGGTGGGGTAACATATGCAAGCCCTGCTCTGTGTGTCTCTGTCCTGTGTGTGTTTGATTAGTGTGAAATTAAATTCCTATTTTTTCCCCAAGTTTAATGTTTTGTCTTGGACCTTAATTGGTGAAGAACCTTCCTTGGCCTTTGTCTCAGCCCATGAGCTTTGTCCTCCTCATCCCAGTGTGTGTGTGTGTGTGGGGCTGAGTGAGCAGCCATGGGGCTGTTCCTTTTGTTGTTATGTTGGGCCCAAACCACGACAATTGTTATTTACTATTTATTATAATTTAGCTAATTTAATTTATTCTAAGTTAAGTATAAGGCTAGTCACTC